AGCCGCCGGAGATAAGCTCTAGCTACAGGAGGCAACTTTCCGAGCTGATGTTCCTCCGAGGCTTCTTCTGCCGCAGGCTCCAGGACATCAAGAAAACCCAACACCGTGGCTCTACGCTTAGCCGGCCGCTCCCAAGGATAGCTCAAGCGTGTCGGCCCCTCCCAAGACTGCTTTGGAAGGTTGGCAGCGAAGACACGGGAAGAAGCCTCTGCAGCCTCCCTCTGCACATCTAATTCATCATAAGGCGAAGCAAGAGCAGGAAGCAACGGCTCAGGAGCTGGGGAGGCCGCTTCGCTCCTCACAAAATTTGGAAAGTCCTCGGCCTGAGATTCAGCCTCCAGTGCAACCGGGGCATACCAATCAGCCTCGCCTTCTGCATCATCGAAAAGACTTTCAAGATACGCAACAAAGGATGCATTAGCAGCGGGAGCCCTTGCAGCATCATCCCCAGGCTGATGCACCCATCCAGCATCCTGGGAAAGGACTTCAGATCCTAAGTCCCCTTCAGAAGCCTCCGGAGCGTTGGGAAACACCGTTGGAGGCTCGGCACTACCCCCTGAAAGAAGACTCCAAGGGTGCAAGCCTGAAGATTCTGGGCTGTTGCAGGACTCGTCAGGGTCCTGGTGCATGACGACAGACCTGCAGGAAGCGATGAAGTACTTGCAGGGCAAGCCAAACGAGAGCGATCTCGATCTGCTCTTGATTATCCAAGCAAGAGCTAGCAAAGGCTGCCACCTCGGCTGGAGTCAAACAGGCCAGCACCAAGCAAGTACAAGCGGGCTGCAGGGCACACCAGAGTTCGTCAACGAGACTGGTTAGGGATGCTTCGGACCCCGACCCGTCCTCAGCCATTCGCTGGCTCCAACAGGGAGCCAGCTTGCACGGGCCCTAAGGGCAGCACTGATATTAGCACCTGAGGCCTGCTAGGACACCGGTACAGGCCTCTAGAGGGCCCGAAAAAGTTTTTCCTTTGCTGCTTCGCTGACCTGGTGAAGCGGCGCGGATAAGGAAACATGAGACTCAACTGTGCAAGGAAAAACTCTCAACTCGGAAACAAGCATGCATGTAAAACTTGTTTTGGTAAAACTGTTTGGAGCTGTTTCAAAACAAGAGCTCTAAAACTTTGTTTCTTGGGTGGAGCTATTTTTACGCTTGTCTCAAAAGAGACCGCTGTTACCATGCAGAAGAAAGTCATGTCAGCAAGCTGAAAGTTTCCTTCTTCGCATAGTAATAAAAAGCTCCATGATTCCAAAATATTTCAGTAATTATCTTCAAGACAATCACTCTGAACATATATAAAACAATTACGCGCACAGCACACTCACAACCCTTCTCAGCTTCACTCGGACAAGCCTTCATTTTCCTTTCATAGTCGGAAAGGGGTCAGACGAGTTTCGGTAACGAGCTTGAGAGTCAAGCAGCTGGCCATCCG